GCTGGGACCGCTGTGGCTGTTGCCCAGCCCCATGCTGCACGGAGGGGGGGAGTCCAGTGACCCCGATGGCAGCTACTAGTGCCCATGAGTGCAGGGGGTTTGGAGCTTTTCCGGTTTTTTTTTACTTGCCAGGATGCTGGGGTGGGGGGTCAGCGATCATGGGGGATTTGGGGGGATGGGGCTGGGCAGGGCAGGGATCGGGGGCTTGGAGGGCTGGCAGGGGATGGGGCTGGGCAAGGCAGTGATGGGAGGGCTCAGGGGGTAGGTGGGGGATGGGTCTGGATGAGGCATGGATCAGGGGGCTGGGGGAGTGGGCAGAGCCAGTGGTGGTCTCCCCCATGGTCCCCTTCGCCCCTCCTTCAGCCTCCTCCCCCCCTCCCATTACCGGCACTGGAGCCTGGGTCCAGCTCCCTGAGGCTGGCACTCTGTGTGCCCTGCACGGGCAGGCAGTGTGCTTCAGCACCAGGGTGAGGGTCAACCATAGAGACACTCTGGCTATTACCAGAGCACCTCTGTGGAGGACCCAGCCTCCAGTTGCATCAGGGCATAGTCCAGGACCATGCCCTGCATTTTTCACTGCATTTTTTTTACCCCTGGGTATCTCATTCCTGCACATGCCTCTTGCAGCATCTCAAAGCCCCTTGAGATGCTGCAAGATGCCTGTGCACACTCATCTGGACGTGCCCAATAGGGGCAAAATCCACTATGCAGACACCAGTTGTATCCTTAAAATTACTGTTCAGGTGCCACCTACCCCTAGTTTTCACCTGCAGGTACATGAAATCCAGCTAAACAATGACATCACTGCACAGCTAACTAGACATTCAGAGCTCAGAGCCCCAACTCTGAAGCAGGACTTTTAAACTGTATGCCTTCCTTCCCCGTCTCCCCCACACCATCACTATCATTTTCACTAGCAAGGCCTTATCCTGTAGGTGAATTCACAGGACATCTGAGCTAGGTGGAGCTCATAAAAAATGGCTAGTCAGAAACTTTTATTATGCTGGGGCACTGTCTATATGTTCCCTTCCCCAACCCGAAAGTGCCCCTCTGGTGCTTAGGGTGCACAGCTAGGATGTGGGAGACTCAGGCTGAGATCCTTGCCCTGTAGTAGCTCTTGAACTTGAATCCAGCGCAGCAGGGCTTTGAAAGAGGATGTCCCATGCCCCTGGAGACTGACCAAACACTAGACTAGTGGGGGCCAATCTTTTTGGCAGGTATGACATAAATTAGCCCCACACCCTCCCTGAGTGCCACACTGATCCTGTTCATGCCCAATCAGGTATTCTGCTTTCTGCTTCCTGCCCTATCCACCACTGTATTGTCTTTCCTGTCCCTATTCTGCCACCTGCCATACACAGAGACTGCCCATGCCACTTGCAGCACATCCTACAGGTCAGCCAGCCCTACACTAGACTACAGACTTCTGAAGTTCCCTCCCTTCTGCCCCCTGCCCTCCCCCCAGATCAGAGCCAAAACCAGAACATCTGCCTCCCTCCCTCCCACACCCCGCTCCGCCCTTTCCACTGCCTCATACACAAACCCAAGACAAGGGGCTTTTTTCCCATGTTAAATGTGTGTGTGTGGGCGGGGGGACCTCATCTTGGATTCAAGGAAATACAGTATCTGTTGGGCATTGTGACACCTAAGCACCAGTGATGCCAGGCTCAGCTCTCTCTATGACCACTTCTTCCACAGGCAATTTTACACTTACTTCCATGCTACCTCTGATGCGTAGAATATGCCCACTCAGGACACCTCTTTAACCCCACAATCTTCCTTCAAATCCCTGTGACTTTCCCAAAACCACCTGGTGAGGAAGTGACAAAGCAGGAGAGAGAATCCAGAAATCCTGCTTCCTTCTCCTGTCATTTAGTCATGAGACAATTTATTTCAGGAGGAAATAACTGAGAATCCCAATGCTCTAATCCAAAACATCACTGTATTGTACCAAAACCAGGCTATGAATGAATCATTCCTGTTTGACTTGTCAATGAAGAATATATGGCATACAGCCCATCGGAGCAGATGTGAAAAGTCCTTGTCAGGGTCACTGATCTCTGTTGCATAGGGTGAGGGATGATGGACGTTCATCCCCTTTGCAGCACAGCTCTGTGCTGCGCTGGGTCTCCCCGTGCTTGAGGGGTGATGGAGAAGATTTTGGAAGATGAGGCTGAAGGGGCGAGGTTCCTGGATCTGTTAACATCCAGGAACTGTTTTTAGCTATTTCAGAAGACAAGTGCTGAAGCCAGAGAAACTACTACTACCTTAAGGCTTCAGTAGCAGTCACAGAGCTGGACTGGTACTGAGGGAAGAGAAGAAGAGATTCCTTCTGTCATCCTGGGGATATTCTCTGTGCACAGCCCTCAGGGTGTGCACTAGGAGCAAGATTTGACCTCATATACTTTTTTTCACCAGTATCAAAGCGATGCTGAGAAAAGGCTTTATAAGACACATCAGAGCTGTACTGCATGAAAAATGCTGGTAAAGAAATTGATTTTTTTTAGAGAGATCGTTTCAAGGCAAATCCTAATTCCAATGAATATCATTATCCATGGCCTCAGGGTGACAAATGGAAGCTTTTTTTCAGTGCTGATAAATACATGTGAACACAAGCTATCAGATCTCTATTCATAATTAATGCAGCCATGGATGGAGTGGCCCACCTGGGAGCTGTACATTATTTATAAACTTGAAACTGACCCACTGTCAAGACCATGAAGGCATGCTTTCCTTGCAGCTGATGCTCTGCTTCTGCACTATGCCACTACAAGTGTATATTCCCTGTAGTATTTGTGTATTACTACAATTCAATTTTTCACTATGCAACATTTTTAGCATAAGGTAATATTTGCAAGGGAACATCTTATGCCACTACATTTCCTCTGCAGACAGATGGGCTGGGTAGGAGCCTATAGCTCTTAATTAAGCCATACAAGGAGTCTCACAGTCTCACATAAGCCTCATATCACTGAGATACAAGGAAAAAATGTATTTTGTGGAGTTCCATGTTCACAAACAAAACCATTTTTTTTTTATGAAAGATTTCTCTTTGAAGAGATGAATGCACAAAAGAAAACAGACTTGTTTCTGAGCAGAAAGGGTCACCTACCTTTAGTTTTGAAGGCAAAATTACACAGCTTGCACACATAAGGCCGTACATCAGTATGAGTGCGGATATGTTTTTTGAGCATGCTTGGCTTTTTGCAGCGAATCCCACATTCTTCACAGATATACTTTCCACGCCCACGGCCTCTAACATATACATAATCTTCATTTGATTTATACCTGTTGGAAGAGGGCAGGCATTGACATTACATAGCCCCCAAGTCATACATATAAATACAGAGTACCTTAATAGACCTTAATATCCCAATTCTACTCCATGCCCAAAGTATCCACTGAAACCAATGGAATCCAGGAATGCTGGGGACCATGATTATTTTTCAGGAAACACAGTAGTTTATACTCATTTGCGTGTCTTGGTTATTGTTTAACAGCTTGAGAGCAGAGGTTCAGATACCAGAGTAATATACCTTGTTAAGAGGCAGATGACATACCTTCTATGCAGATAAAAGCACAACAAAGAACTCTCTAACTACAGTGTCCCGAGCTGATGAAGGCATCCATTTCTTGAAATAACAAGGAATATTTCAAATCAAGATGTATAATTAGCAAATATATTGCTAAATGTGCTCATCACCAACCCTACATTAAAGATAGCACTTGGCTGCACTCTTAGCTGCTCACACTGTCTTTCACTGCTAGACAATAAATGAGATCTGCAAAGTTGCACACTTCCCTGATTGTCATGATGGATCAGTTCTGACATGTGGAAGACAGACAGTAAGGGTCTGAAGAACCTGAACAAGGGCTACCTTGGGGGTTGAGGGTGACAGTCAAGTGGTGTGGACATTTTGAACTCTGATGAGTATCACCAAACAGGAAGGAGAACTGAGAAATAATAATTAACCCAGCCCCTTGCCTATGCTGCTCTTCTCTCGAGAGGTGCAGAATACCCACCATCCTCACTGAAATCAGTGACACTGTGGAAATTTCTCTCACTAGATATTGTCTCCATGCTTAAGAAATAATAAGGCTTGGTCTGAAAAAGTATTCTAACATGGGAGCAGATTGTCAAGGAGCAGAAGAGCTTATAGAGATGAAACTTTTTCAAAATTTATTTATCTCAGACAAACTTTAGTTTTCATATGATCAGTAGCTCATGACAGCGGGTCTAATATCCTTAGTGTACACAACATTTTCTTCCCTGCTCATCTCTGTCTTATTTTCCATTAAAAATGCAGACTCAGTTTTCACACTTGGATGCCTGAAACTGAGCGCCCAAATTCATATATTGCTAATCAAACAAAACAACTGTAGAGGAGTTTTTTATCTCTCCTTACCAGCCCTAAAACTTTCTCCTCTTCTCCCACTTCCCTGTTATGACAGGAACGGCCACTCTCCTGTGATCTGGGCCTCATCTTTGACTCAGCCTTATCTCTCTCAATCCACATATACCCAAGTCCTACACGTTCTATCTATACAGCAATTCAAAGTCTCAGTTTGTCCTGCCTGCCAAGGCTCCCAGGGCTCTTGTTCAGACCCTCTTCATCTTGTGCCTTGACTACTCTTGTCTTGTCTTGACTGACCAGCAACACTACCTTTTCTACGTCCCTTCAAAACCCAATTTCCTGCCTCACTGTTCCTACCATAATAAGCTTTATTCTGTATTCCTCCACAGGCCTTCCCTTCTCACCTCACCTCACCTAGCACAAGCTTCTTACCTTTATAAGCTATCTGTCACTTAGCCTTGCTCTATCTATAAAATATACTAGACTGCCATGCTGTTGACTTTCACTCTAACTGTTAGTAGTGGTAGCCTTGATCATTTGCCTGTCCACTTCTTTACATGCCATCTCCATGCACAGGAAAAACTCTATCAAAATGTGTAAAGCCCTCACCTTATCGTCTACTAATTCTCTCCTTCAAAACTACCTCCCCTGTGATGTTTATAAATCACTTCTGACTACCAAAAATGCATTGTGATATCTATTTTTCTGCTAATCTCTTCTCAATTTGTTATTCCATCTTTTCACTAACCCTAACCTTGTCCCTCTGTTTTTTGCCATCTATCATACCCTGTCTGACATACAAGCAGCTAATCTCTGCAGGGCGGGATCATCTTCTGTGTCACTTTTATATTAAGTGCCTATTGATGGAGGTGCTAGGGGGCTATGCCTCACTAATAAAAGTTAAATGTAGGAATTTGGCATTGAAACTAGGTGAAAATTATCCCTGAGCATCAGAGACCACACTGGCCCTAGAGTGAAGACTTTCCCTGTTTGCTATTGACTCATATCTCTGACTCTCAGTCATCACTAACCCATTTCACCGTTGCCACCACAGTCACCACATAACTGAGTTATTAGTGATCTGGGCTGGACTTGGACCAACGCTGTGAATTTAAAAGGCATTACCAATCCCAGAGTTAGGTGGCTCCACTCCAAAATGCCACTTTACTATTGGTTTCCAAGTCACCCCTATCACTACCA